TGCAAAACTGACAGTAGTGTAAATATTTGTGAAATGTCATTTGTTTATGTTAATTTCTATAAAGTGTTGAGGATGAAGTTGTTTTAAGAGGGCAACAATCTACTTTGGTCTTAATTGCATTCCAATAAACCGTGAGCTCATCAGTGTTGTCCAACATTAACCCAGATTCTTTAATTTGGGCCCTTCAGAGCGATCTACAACAGGTAAGATATTGTTTGTTAATAATGTTTTCAAAATGACAGAATGCCTCTTTAACCAAAGAAAATGTCTTTGATCTTCTTTTTCCTTAGTTTGGTTTAAGAAATAACCCAGAAAACTGTTCTTCTCAAATATGCTTGTTCATATGAAGCTATAAATAAATCAATAAATCAATAAAAACAACGTGACTCTACACCCAATGAACATTTTTCACCTGTGTTTTGGTGACAATAAGATGCAAAAATAAAAAAAATGGAAGAGAGGAATTGCTTCCCCTGGTGGAAATTCAACAAAAGTGCACATTTATTTTGCACAAGTGGATTCAGCAGATCCACTGGACCTGTGATTGTAGTGAAGTTAAATAAATAAATGAATGAATGCTTGCGTATACTGTATATGAACTAAGCCTGTAGTTTTTTTTTAATTTATTACATTTTTTACCTTGAGTGTTTGTTAGGCTTATAATCCTCTGGATTATTGTTGTCACAGCAGGTACCGTTGTGATTCCTGAAAAAGAACAAGAAGAACACGATAGGATGGTTTATAATCAGAGCAAGTTATACAGTTACTAAATTTACCAAACAACTAACAAACAAACAAAAAAATATATGTATGTATGTGTATATATTTATATATATATATATATAGATAGATAGATAGATAGATAGATAGATAGATAGATAGATAGATAGATAGATAGATAGATAGACAGACAGACAGATAGATAGATAGATAGATAGATAGATAGATAGATAGATAGACAGACATACACATTAGAGCAATTGCTGCAGTGGCAGCTGGCCAATAGACAGCACTAGGGCACCACCACACTACTCACCACATTACCTTGAATAAGACATAAAGAATTAAATAAAAAGGAAATAAAAAAAATATATATATGTGTGTGTGTGTGTGTGTGTGTGTGTGTGT